AAGAGTTTAGAGGGCATTTCTTAAAATTTAGGATTTTCTGAAAAAAAGTTGCGAAAGATCACGTTTGTACAAGGAAATTGAATGAACCATGAGGATTTTCATGGACATATCAAAGAATCGGATGAAAACGGATGCAATTATATGGGTTTTAGATAATTTTAAGGGAAAAGTGCTTTTGGGGAAACCATGACCCAATAAGCAGACTACCAATCTGCTTACTGCAGTAGGCATAGCAGCATCACCAGTATGACCAACATCATGCGCATCATGACACTTATTAACTGAACTTTTAAATCTCTCTCTTGATTGAGCTGCTTTGACCCAGCACTTCTTGCAGTTGAATCAGGTCAAAGTCTAATCTGCAGTAAGCATAAAGGGCTAGCTTATCGGAAAAGTCACAACTGACATAGCTCTTGCGAGCATGGATCTAAGTGTGGAGTAGGGAAACTTGCATCTATATATTTACACTAAGGGACCTGGTGTGCTTTCACATGTCAGAGACAGCATTGCATGAAACAATAAATGCATCCGTTGGTGGCCACATGCCCAACGCAGAACATGGAATCTGATCACTGCATACATGCCTATAGCGCGGTTGTAAACCACTCACTAAGCAGGACACGCACTTCTGCTTAGAGGGCTTGCAAAGGCTCCATTGGTTCAAAACAGCATCCGCAAAGTCACCTCCCACGCCCGCCTCAGGACACCCCTGCACTTTGCTAAGCGATGCCATCCATAAATGCAAGACAAAATGCTGTCTTTGTGGCTCATAACTTTGTGGACGTTGCCGTTTGACATCAGAAGAGGACAATCCAAAGCACGGTCAACCAAATCATTTCTGTACCCGAGTACGGTTTCCGAGTAGATGCTCATATATTTTCTGTAAAGGGCATGAAATGCATCGCATGGCTGCCCTGCTGCTGACCATCCCCCTGGCTGCTTCTCCGGAAGCAGGATTCGGAACTGCTTGCTGAAAGCCTGTCCTGAGAAAACACGCAAAAACTGTTGGAGCAACCTTTGGACATGCAGAAAATTGCAGCGTCCCGATATAAAGTCGCGTGTGTTTATTTTTTCACATGGTAAGTTTTCATATTATATAGTTATATATAATATACACCATGGTTCACCTATGTATATGCATAACAAGCCAGGGTTCGTTGGATGTCATAACCTTCAGTTTCTGTGTGGTGACCTGTGAAACTGTCCGCTAGCAAAGCGCCATACTCTTCTTCAAATGACTGGTTGTAGCGCTCAGCTAAAGTGGCCCTTCGCCTCTCAAAAGAAGGCCCAACCACATTCTCCAAGTAGTCCACGACGGAGTCTGAGTTCATGAAGTGTGTGCCTCGCCCAGAAGAAATGAAGTGGACAGCCGGCTGGAACTGCTCTTGTAAGGCAAGCTGCTCCTCAGCGGAAATAAAGCCTAATGGTAGGACTATGCAGAGCGGGCCAGCTTCGCCATTCCCCCACACTGATGTGACAATCGTGATGGAATGTCGGCTGCCATCCACGCAATCTGCGCGAGCGTCCTTGCCTTCAGGTGAGGTGCGATTGCAAAACCATATGTATATATGTAGATATGTAAAGATTGATAAACATATAGTATATATATATATTGATATTATATATCTTAATACATACACATATATATATATGTAAAATTGTGTCATTTGAGTGGGCCTTTTGGTGTATATATATATAGATTTCCAAACCAAAAACCACCGTTGGAAGTAGCAACCCCGTCCTTTCACTCTTCTGCTTCTTGTCTCCCACTCCCTGTTTCCTGCTTGAAGCCCTTCCAGTTGCTGCTGGACTGCATGCCTTTTCCCATGCAAATCCAATTCATTCCCCTTGCACCAGACTTGGAAAGGACGGCTCCATGCTGCTTTCCACACTTGGTCGAAATTGAGGCACATGTCAAGCCTCACGTTTCTCTCCATCCTCCAGGGACGATTGATGAACACAACATACTCTCACTGAGCCACTAAGCAGAATCTCCCAGTCTGCCTACTGAGGCCCTTCTTCATCCTCTATATACTATACACCACAATATTTAAAAATCTCTCTATATATATATATATTTTTTTGGATATAGTTCAAAACCCAAACCCCTGCCTGCGGAAATGCCATGCCTTCCGTGACTTGATCATCCGTGAGTCATCATAGGGTAAGTATGCCCCTGCTGTATTGGGAACACGCTTCTTGTAGCCAGCTGACAACAACAATCTGTTGACCCACCTTGTAGACACCTTCCGTTTGCAAGGTGGAGCGTCTTTCCCTTCGTCAGCCGCCACTTTGTCCAGGTGCTTGCAGTAGGTCTCCAACATTGAATCTGCTTCTGCCTTGATCTTGGATGTCACCACGACGCCTGCAGTAGGTTTGGATTTCTTCCCCCCACAACCAACTTTCTCCACCATGTTCAGAAGGCGTTCTTTCACAACAGCAGGAACATCGCTGGAACCCTTGAATCGCATACGCTTTTGCATACCAAGTGGTTCCCGGATCCAATCTGGCAACTCCTTTATTGCATCTCGATCAGCAGCTGACATCTTCTCAAAGGGTATCTTGTGCCATTCCTGAGCCTTACTTTGGGAAATCCACCTGCCAAGCATGCCCGTCTTGAGGTTGCCCTTGGCACTTCGGAACAATTCCGGGAAAGTATCCATGACCTTCTTCTCTATCCCAACCTTGAGCCCACTCTCGATCAAGCGCTCGGCTTCCCTGACAGCTTGCATCTTCTGGTGGATGGAGAACCGGGCCCTGGTCTTGGGAAGGTTACGCTTTTTCTTCTGTCCGTCATCATCTTCAATTGGCTCCCCGGGATCATGATCATCATCATCATCTGGCCCCCGTCCTGCCTCATCATTGCCAAATTCAGGCTGCCCATCCGGTGGCTCATAGGCAACTATCTGCAAGTGTGCCGGGTCCATGTCCTGGCAGGCACTGACCCCAGTAAGCAGATTCCTTGTCTCTGCTTAGTGCCCGGCCAATTAAAAATAACACTCCCCAATTATACAAACACCATGTCGGAAACCCCTAAATTCGGTCTATATATATATATATATTGTGTGTGTGTTTTTAGTTACTGCATCTGACTGGTGTCTCTCCCTCCCTCTCTCCCTCTATAAATTATATATATATATATTTGTACGACTCATATGTTACATACTTGCATATAAAACTGAGAGGCCCTGGACTGTAAGCCACACATCCAGCAGCCCGCCTCCACTTTGACTCTCGGCGGTGTGCATGACTTGCTTGACTCCACACCGGTGTCCTGCAAAGGGAACCACCAAAGATCAAATCCTCCTATCCCGATCAACCCCTTCTAAGCAGAATGAAAGGTCTGCTATGTGTATAATGTTGACAGAGGTTTCTATTTGTATATTCTTACTTTCTTTTTGGCTAGTATCTAATATCTTCTGGTCCCTAAAAACCTCTCTAGCAAATTTTTTTTAATTTTCCCTTATTAAAACTCTATCAAAATCTTAACGTTTTCTAGCTCACAAAGGGTACCCCTCTCACAGGCCTCAGTGTTCACACAGAATCATATCGCCCATCATCCATCATCAGGTCATCATCTTTATTAAGGGGATGTGGTCTCCAATCCCTGCAATCCCAAACCTTGTTGACCTTGAAGGGGGGGGTTGATTAATCAGGTGGCGACATTACACAAGTGGCACCCTATTTTGTATAAGTTGTGTGTGGACCCAGCTGTCCTCCGCTGACATTGTGCTAGGGTCAGCCGCTGACAGAGATTCCTTGGACTCTAGGGTCGACGTTGACTTCGAAGAGGTAGTAGAACCCGCGGTCCGTCTCCTCTTGGCATACTTGTGGCCATTGAAGCTGTGGTCTCCTGCTTCAATCCACTTGGTTTTCCTTTGCTCGGCCTTCTGCTTCAGATCTAACACATCAGCCAAAAGTTGTCCAGCTTCTGATGCATTGTTGGGAAGCTTGCAAATGCCAGCATTCTCAAGAGAGACCTTAGCCTGCGATAATTTGTTGAGGACACGCTCAAAGTCATCAGCGATGTTGTTGATGCCGGCAGCTAGGTCCCCCATGCGCTCAATGAGAAACTCAGAAAAGACCTTCAATTCCCCAGCAATGTGTGTAAACCTTGCAGACACGCCGTTGTCATACCCGTCCAAGCTCTCAGATCTCCGGCTTTGCAAACTGGCAATAGACTTGGCCCGCTTGGATGGTTGCTTCCAGAATTTGCTAGCTCCTTCTCGGGCAGCCTGGTACAGGTCGGTGTTGATTTCAGCGTCAGCAGAAACACATTTGAAGTAGTAGAGGGACTTGGGGCCAGTCCAATGAACCTCCGCTTGGATTTCAATCAGCCAGCTTTTGTCTAGCTCATGTTGAGATTCTTTTGTTGCAGCCTCCAATCCTGCATCTGTGACTCGCCAAAATGCTGCCTGCTGACTCTGTCCAATCAAAGCAGTGATAAAGTGTTCACCAATGCTTTGCTGGAATGTGGCCGCCAAACGAAAATCTTCCAAAGTAGGTCTACTTGATTCAGATTCTGGACGCACCACACAGCAGCCAACCACATCATCCTGTTTGGTTTCCAGCAGCTGTTGCAACGCTGTGTCCTCCATGGCCGCCACAGCAGCCTTTGTGCTGACATCAATTTGGCATTCCCAAGCTGGAATGAAGAGCCCCTTGACATCAACTTTGTGGCCGTCTTCAGCCTTTCCCAACAAGCAGGCAAATGTTGGGCTAGGACTTCTTTGCAGGCAAATGTTGTTGAGGTTCGCGAGACATCCTCCAGATATGTGCAGACTTCGCTGGCGGTCCTTTCTCTTGAGATATTCCCGTTTCCGTTCCAAGCGGTCACTTGTCGGCTGCAAATGCTGGGTTGGGTCTATCACCTCTGCCACCTCGACGTTCTTGCCAGAAAGCAGCCCGGGTGCTGGCAATTTGATACTAGAGACAGCTTTGGAAGCTGAGCTTTTTTCCTTTTCAGTCTTGCTTTTGCCGGTATTCTTGCACGAGGTTTCAGAAGGCTTGCCATTCTTCTTGGATGGCTCATCAGAAGGTGTCACATCCTTCTTTGAAGGCTTGCCATTCTTCTCGGATGGCTCATCAGAAGGTGTCACAACCTTCTTTGAGGGCTTGCCATTCTTCTTGGATGGCTCATCAGAAGGTTTCACATCCTTCTTTGACGAGTCTTCTGCGGCACCAACTGAATTTTGCACAGGACGGAAGAGAGCCCGACCAATCTGAGCATCTAGCCTCTGGAATTGCACTGGAACCAAGGGCTGCACAGCCGAGACGCGATGAACAACAAAGGGAAACGGATAGGGTGGCTGAATGCACATGGTCAGGTCGCTGATCTCTTCCCACTCCTCTGTGTTGAGGATTTGGATAGAGTGGCTCAGGCACGCTCTGCACAGGATCTGGTCCTTCACGGCGAGGTAGAAGGTTTCCTGGTGAAGGAGGTTCTGGGTATTTGCTGACTGGGTGCTAGGAACATATATATATATAACTATATGTGTATATATATATGTGTATGTATATATATACACAACATCATAAAACATGTCATAGAGACATAGCAGCAGTAAGCAGCTCCTGGGTATATGCTTACTGGGGTGCTAGGAACATATATGACTATGTATATTTGTGCATATACAATATCATATTAAAAATCAGCAGCAGTAAGCAGCTCCTGGGTATATGCTTACTTGGGGCCATAGCCAGTTTGAACAAGAAAACATTGACGCTCATATAAGCTGAGCCTCCGGTCCATGGCAAATGACCGACTTGCGGCATTCTAAAGTCTTCTCGCCACTCAGTATGCCTGAAAGATATTGCTCTTGCAGCAGGATAATCTTCGCCAAATACTCTGGAGCTTCAGAGATTTGTGAGGTCACCACATCAGCCTTAAAGGCCACAGCCGCGGCAAGCTGCTCTTTCTTGGTAGCCACTGGACCCTGTGCAGAAGCGCCGGATCCCGCGGAGAGGTTTGGCAACTGAAATGTCTTGAACCAGGCCACAAGGAAGACGTCCTTCTTCTCCTGTTTGTTCTTTGCCTTGTTGAAAGCCTTCATGTCCAAATCCAACTTCTGCATTTGTGCTTTCAAATCGGACACCGTCAATCCCTCCACTTGCAACCTCTCCTCCTGAGCAATGCGCCCCAGGAAGCAGAACATGCTGGATATATATATATATATTAATATATATATATATAAACGTATATTCATGTATAACTGTATATACAAGCCACCAACGTTACATTTTTGGAATCTATATATATATATTCATATTAGTATGCAAACAGAAGCAACTGCCTTGGGCAGAAAGCAGACTGGTCATCATCCGAGACTCATGGAAGATCTTGTGCATGTTCAGGGCCAGCTTCTTATCTTTTCCAACCTCAAATTTGCGGTAGCCCACCTCCAAGTGGAACATTCCATCGGGAGATTCCGTCAGTCCATCAGGCACAGAAGCTGGCTCCAGCTTCAGCAAGTCCTCCAAGCCATCCTTCAGCTGCAGGGTAGCAAGAGCTGCAAGCAGAACTACGCCAGCATTTTGAAGCTGGTTCCCATTTCCAGCTCTGGCATGGAAGTTGAAAGGCGCCGACCAATCAATGTGATCTGATATTGATGCTTCCCACGTTTGCCCAGGAGTGACTGCCAAGCCGCTTGCAGCCAATTTCTCTCGCTCTGTCATCCACCGGTTCCTTGAGCAAGATTCGAGAATTTCAAGGGGCCCCAATCTCCCTTTTCCCGCCCCCCCCATACAAAAGAACACATGGAACTCTCTCTGTACATATACTGTACACCAATCATCCAAGTCACAGTCGTGAATTGTACATCCGCCTGGTTCCACTTCTTGTGAAGCATGGTAGGTTCCCATCGGATGCCGTCATGGTACAACGCTCCACCGGGTCTTGCCCTACTGCAAAAACTGGTTCCAGGGAAGAGCTCTTGCTGCCATATTTCTCAGGAAACCTTCCATGCAGAAAGGGTATCAGCGAAGACATCAATACATACATAATAATATACATATACATAAACATAATATATATTGTGATTATGCACATCTGTATATATATATAGAGAGAGGGAGGGGCTTGCACAACACCAAAGCACGTTTATATAGCTTCAAACAGAAAGGCAAAGTATTTGCACTGCATCCACCAGTAAGCAGATGGGGAGCTCTGCTTACTGGGCTCCACAATCGAGACACTTCACAATGTAGCCATCCAGGTTCTTTGCTTCAAATGGCGATAGCAAAGGCCGCCAGTTAGAGATGTCGCAAGAGTCTGCTGATCCTCCAGGGTTCTCTCAACTTTGTCCAACACATCCACTCCTTCTCTCTTTGTCCCCATATTGTTTCAATTCTGATTGGTGGAAGCGTATGCAACATCAGTGTGTGTATATATATATATATAGTGTGCGGTGTCTATTGGCTTTTGTTTATACAAATCTGCTGAAGCCAGACTCGGAACCCACTGCCAAAAAAGCACCGGCAATTGTTTTGGTGAACCTATATGCACATGTGTTTGGTCAACCTATTGGACAAAATCCAAATATATACTAGGGCTGTCATGAATTTCATGTTCTCCTAATTGAAAACGTTGGGGTTTTACACATGTATACCCAGTATGCAGCCCTGCAGTCTGCTTACTGCAGTGACAAGCCGGCCTCCCTCCCAGGCAAACGAAGAAGGTCTCTGACCACCTATTTTTGATCCTTGCAAAGCACTTCTCCCCTTCTCCAAATTG